TGATTTTCTGTCTTCTCCAGCTGCCTGAAGCCGTGGATATGCTCCTGCGGCACCAGGCTCTATTCCTGAACATTTTGGAAACACACCTTGTTTCTTTTGGAATGGCTTCACTTGAATAAGCTCCGTTCATTAAGGGGTAGTAGACTTAACTGAGAAAATGTCTCAATGAAATAAATCTACCGTCTTCTTGTTCAACATTTTATACATTTCTGAATATATTTTATGAATTAAAGAGAACAGAATTTTTTTTAACATCCTGAAAATGTTATGAAGTCCAGGTGAAACGCCTTCTACAGATTTCCACTTTTGACATACCTTTAAACCCCCAAAAAGTAGCCGATGTAATTACAAAGCACAGCATATCATGGTGGTTATTTTATGCAAATAAACAGAGTACTTCTAAATTTTTGTGTGTTAAATATAGCATTCGAGGCTGCTGACGTAGTCCATAAATCCAGACAGGGCTGAAGGATCTATAATTAGCAGATGTAACTCTAATGTGAGCAATGGACTCTGGCATCTATAAGTTCAACTATAGCACTGAAAGTTCAAAAGGACTATTCTAAAAAGAGTCTGTTTTAGACCTAAGAACTACAGGAGGCAGAAGAACAGAGGGGCAGAGGGACAGAGGAAGGCAGAGTTCTGTGACTTTGAGGCCAGCTTGGTGTATATACTAAGACCCTCTCTCAAAGAGAATAACATAAATTAAAAAAATAAAAATTCAATAGAATTATTTCTGACAAGGATTGTAAAGAAAACCTCAGTATTTTGCTGGGGTTTTTTTTTTGTTTGGTTGGTTGGTTTTTTGTCTTGTTTGTTTGTTGTAGATAAATCAGTCCCCACAGGGTACATTGATTCAATTATTAATCCTTACATCCTACTTTTTCTTTTCGAGGAAACCTTGTCTATCTTGCCTTTTCACATGTTAATGGATTTGCTGATGCTTTTGAGTTTTGAACTATGTTTCACTGGGTTTTTTGTTGTTGTTGTTGTTTTGTTTTGTTTTGTTTTGTTTTGTTTTGTTTTGTTTTGTTTTGTTTTTGAGACAGGGCTTCTCTGTGTAGCCCAGGCTGTCCTGGAACTCACTCTGTAGACCAGGCTGGCCTCAAACTCAGAAATCCGCCTGCCTCTGCTTCCCAAGTGCTGGGATTAAAGGCGTGCGCCACCACCACCTGGCACTGTTTTTTTTTTTTTTCATTAGTATCTACATTAGTATCTATTTCAAAGGACGTTCAAAGTGCTAAAACTGACCCTTGCACTCAGGTTTCTTGGAACTTCCCTATTTTATAGCCTGCCTTTACTGTGGGTTTTCTTTTATGCCAACATTATATTCTGGGTTACTAAAATCCCTGAACCATGCTAGTTTCTCCCCATCATTATCTTAAAACAGTCCTAATGTAGGTGTGGAGATACTATCAACCTACCATGGATATTCTCATCACGATGAAGGCTCAGTCTCACATTCTCACCACACGTCATACCTCAGGTTGCCACATATGCTAAAGTGCGTCGCCTTATCTGTAACTGCTTCAAGAGTTTGCTGTAAATGTCAGATCCATTAGATAAGGTTTACACCACCAACTCAGCAACTTCAGAAGCTTGAAAACAAAAAGTTAGGCCTATGGATATTAAATAAAATTGTAAATATTTAGCAATTTTCTTTTGTTGTTGTTCTTCTTCTTTTTCTCCTCTTCCTCCTCCTCCTCCTCCTCCTTCTTCATCTTCTTTTAAGAGTCAGTCTTTCTGTGTAGTCCACCATGTCCTGGAACTCACTGTGTGGCCATCCTGGCCTTGAACTCACAAAAATCAACCCACCTCTGCATCCTAAGTCTTGAGATTAAAGGTGTATGCTTCCATGCCTGGCTAGCAATTCTGTTTTCTTTTCTTTTTTTTAAGATTTTTTTTAATTTTATGTATATGAGCACACTGTAGCTGTCTTCAGACAAAGCAGAAGAGGGGATTGGATCCCATTACAGATGGTTGTGAGCCACCATGTGGTTGCTGGGAATTGAACTCATGACCTCTGGAAGAGCAGTCAGTGCTGACCCATCTCTCCAGTCCCTAATAATTCTATTTTCATCTACAGGTATGCAGTCTAGTAAACTCAGGTTATCATGCTTGGTAGCAAATGCCTCCAAGCAGCTGAGCCATCTCACTGGTGCCAAGAAATGTTCTTGTCACATATCTACAAATTAAAAACTCTTAGCCCCCAAGGGGACCGCATGAATCTCCCTGGGAAGGGGAAATAGAATAGATCTTGTGAGCGAACTGGAGGTGGGTGGGAATGAGAACAGGAAGGATCAGGTGGAGGAAGAATATTGGGAGAGAGTACTAGGAGAGATGGCTGGAAATGGGGAGGGGGAGTATTTCAGGTCAAGGTAGAAATCTAGCACTATGGAAACTTCCCGAAATTTACAAGGGTGACCTTAGTTAAGACTCCTAGTAATGGGGGAAGTGGAGCCTGAATCAATCATCTTCTGTAACCAAGCAAGGCTTCCAGTGGAGGAATTGAGACACCAACCCAGCCACAAAACTTTCAACCTACAATTTATCCTGCCTGCAAGATATGCTGAGGTAAAGGTGGTGCAGAGTTTATGGGGTTGGGGGAGGGCAACCAATCACTGGTTTGACTTGAGGCCCATGCCATGAAAGGAAGTCCATGCCTGACACTCCCTAGAGGACCATGAACCAGAGGCTGGATAGCCCAGAGGCCTAGAATAAAACCAAAAAGCAGAGGTTTGGAGATGAAATGAGTCCTAATATTCTGCATACTGGTAGATCAGAGCCTAGCGTAACTGTCATCAGAAAGGCTTCATCCAGCCACTGATGGTAGCAGGTGGAGAGACCTACAGCCAAACATTAGGCAAAGCTCAGGGAATCCTGCAGAAGAGAGGAAGGACAGATTGTAGGAGTCAAAGGGGTCAAGAACACCACAAAAATTCAACTAAGCAGAACTCTTAGGGACGTAGAGACTGAATCAACAATCAGGGAACCTGTATGGGTCCGACTTATGCCTTCTGCCTATTTGTTATAGTTGTGTACCTTGGTATTCTTATGGGACTCCTAAAAGTGAGAGCTGGGCTGTATCTGACTGTTTTGCCTGCCTTTGGGACCCTTTTCCTCCTAGTGGGTTGCCATGTTCAGCCTTAATAGGAAGGAAGGTGCCTAGTCTTATTGCAACTTGATAGTCATGTTTGGTTGGTATCCCTGGAAGGCCTGCCCTTTTCTGAAGGAAAAGGGAGGAATGGATCTGGGAGGGAGGGACTGGGAAAAGAGGATGGAAGAGATACATGCCATTGGGATGTAACATATGAGAGAAGAATAAATTTTAAAAATCCTTAGCCCCAAATCAGCCATTTGTTGTCAGATTCACAGTAACTTTTGATTGAACTAGTGTTACAACTATGGCACAATGACACAACATTTCTGTGATTAGTCCTTCAACACATGCACTTATAGATGTAGTGTTTAAATATTCCGTTTTAAATGACTATTCTTTTCCATGTAAATATTGTCCTACTTCAAAATATTTGGGGGAAAAGTGAATTATTCTCTTAAATAATTAAAGTTTACCCAGTGGGAAGGATTTCTGTCCCAGAAATGTCAAACTGTTAATTAGTTTCTCTGAACTACAGTCTATATTTAGTGAAGAATAAACCCTCCATGATGTGAATGAACAGTACAAAACAGTTGGGAACAAAGGGGAAGGCAAGTCATCCCATAGACCCACCCCTGCTGAATTCTTGTATCCTTCCCTGATTGTACTTCTTTTTCCTGGTGACCTTAGACTACAAGGAGGGAGAGACAATAGCTCTCTTCAGCATACCAGTTATTGAAGAAATTAAGTTTCAGTAGAAAGGATTTTAAATATATACTTTTAATAGATGAAATACACACACACACATACACACGCACACACGCGCGCACACACACACACACATATACACACACAATTATATTTTCATCTGTTGGCATCCATTTTTCTGGACAACAGTGGTGACTACTGTCAAAACTGACATTTTGAGCACTAAATGAGATGGACAGAAGGAGGAGAGGAGAAGAGGCAAATGCGAGAGTCTCCTTGGGCCATGAAGAATTGAAATTAATGAAATACATTTTAAAAATTGCTATATTTTACTATGGTCTTTATATATGAGAAATACACATGAAAACATGTGCTGGAAGGTCTTCAGTTTTAGTTTGTTTCTCAAATATTTTACTGTACTGAAATTCTAGAGCTAGCAGCTCTCCTATGAAGGCATATTGTGCCGTATTTACATCTGTTGCCGTGTCACTCATATGAGGAGACACTTACTGAGAAGTGATAGGTCAAAACCTAAAAAATCACACACTGGATGCAATAGCAAACACTTTTCCCCAGTACTGGGAAAGATGATGAAGAAAGGTTTTAAGTTCGAGGCTTCTCTGGATAGAAGCAGCACAGCACAGAGAGCAAGCAGAGACAATCCGATGTCTGAGTACCACAGCAGGTGAAGGTAAAAATAGCACCTAGTATTTTTAAATCATCTTTCATTACAGTTATAGAATTGCAAATTGCTGATGAAGGTGCTCTGTTTTCCCACAATATATATGTATACATGTATCACATAGAAATGTATATATGTGTATCAATACTGTGAGAAAACGGCGCATCTTTATCAACAATTTGCAATTTTATAAAAACCGTATTTTAAAGGTGACAGAAAAGTCTACTGTCAAATAATTCAGTGTCAAAAAAATCCTTGATTTTCAAAAGAAGTGAAAATGAAAATGTCGATTCAATTTTTTTTTAATTTTCTGAATTCAAGAAAACGAATCAAACATCTTGAATAAAGAAGTCAAAAAAAAAAAAAAACACCTAAGTTTCACATGCGAGTAAAAAGAAAGAAAACCACAACCACAGCCAATACCAATCACAGGGTGCTTCTTGTCTGCCTTCAGAAGACTGGCAGTAACTACACTTTTGAATCTGTTTTTATGTTTGTCCAAGATCTTGAAAAGAGAGGGAGAGACGGAAAGAACAGTGACGGCAAGAAAGAGAGTACATCAAGAAGCTCTCTTGATTTCTCAAGTTCATAAGACACAGAGTAAGGATATTTACCAGATTCAGCATTGAACCTTCAGTGATGGAACCAACAACAACCCTGGATTACTATGACGCTACAAACCCAGATCCTTCTATCATGGAGACTCCTTCCCACATTTCCTACACATCTGTCTTCCTCCCTATCTTTTACACAGGCGTGTTCCTGACTGGAGTGTTGGGAAATTTCATCCTCATGGTTGCTCTGCATTTCAAACACGGCAACCGAAGATTGATTGACATCTTTATCATCAACCTGGCTGCCTCTGACTTCATTTTCCTTGTCACTGTGCCTCTTTGGATGGATAAGGAAGCCTCTCTAGGACTATGGAGGACTGGCTCTTTCCTGTGCAAAGGCAGCTCCTATGTGATCTCGGTGAACATGCATTGTAGTATCTTTTTGCTGACATGCATGAGTTTGGACCGATACCTGGCCATCATGTACCCAGCCTTAGCCAGGAGAGTAAGAAGGAGAAGCTGTGCATATGCAGTGTGTGCTGTCATCTGGATCATCTCGTGCTTCCTGGGATTGCCTACTCTTCTGTCCAGAGAGCTCACTCACATTGAAGGCAAGCCATACTGTGCAGAGAAGAAACCCACGTCATTAAAACTGATATGGGGCCTGGTAGGCTTGATTGCCACCTTTTTTGTCCCCCTCCTGAGCATTGTGACCTGCTACTGTTGCATCACAAGGAGGCTGTGTGCTCATTACCAGCAGTCGGGAAAGCATAACAAGAAACTGAGGAAGTCCATAAAGATCATCATTATTGTGGTGGCGGCCTTCACTGTCTCCTGGTTACCCTTTAACACTTTCAAGCTCCTAGCTATTGTTTCAGGGCTGCAGCCAGAAGGCCAGTTTCCCTCCATGTCTTTTCAGTTGGCCATGAACGTGACTGCGCCCTTGGCATTTGCCAGCAGCTGTGTCAACCCTCTCATTTACTATGTCTTTGACAGCTACATCCGCCGGTCCATTGTACATCGTCTGTGTCCATGTCTGAAGACCCATGACTTTGGGAGCAGCACTGAGACATCAGACGGTCACCTCACTAAGGCTCTTTCCAACATCATTCATGCAGAGGATTTTGTCAGGCGGAGGAAGAGGTCTGTGTCACTCTAAAAGGAGCTTTGACATTTTAAGCTCTGTTGGCACTCTTAGGAAGCTGGGTTTTGTCAGCAGCAGAGAAAGAGAAAAGCATTAAAGATGAAATTCGTATTGATTCATAAATCCAAGGAAGTGTTGGCTTTTTCAAAAGCCTCCCCGAAGACCTCTTCTACTGTTGATCTAATTAGGACATATGCAGCATTTTCACCTCATGGTCTTACTTGGTAATCAAGCCAACTAGACAAAATACAAACTCCATTGTCCTTGAACTCAAAGGCTGTTTCCTTCATGCATGTCAACACTCCTTTCAAGAGCATCCACTGTTCATGTTGGACTGTGTTTGGAAGAGACGCTTTCGTCTGGTAAGAAGGGATGCTGGATATCAAAAACAAAAATACTTGCATTCTGTAACTCTCTGTCCCTGAGTTATTGAGATCGACTTTGGTCTCAATTAATAGTCTTTATCTGGTGAGTCTTCCTCTCTGTCCTGCATTGGCTTTCAGGCCATAGCTTTGGACTAGGGAAAAAAAAGACCCTTATGAGCCACTGTGCATTGTGTTTATGATTTGAGAGTCGCCTCATCAACTGAACTGAAATATGTTAGCAAGTATTCATTGCATAAGGTTTGACCTTTGCCTTGTGAGAAATACTGGTAACAAGCCAGCTTATTATATGCTATGGTAACTGCTTTTTAAAAAGATTTTAATACGCTGTTTGTTTTCATTGCCTTTATAAATTAGAATTTGACTTTGTTGTGATTACATGTTTTGAATTACCTATCATCTAGTTATCAAATGAAAATGCTAGTACTACTGTAATTGGAACTTGGAGGTTTGGGCCCACCCTCATGCAGATTATCACTTAAGGTTCTAATTAAAATGTTACTGTGCATTCTTTTAACAAGTATTTTACTTGGTGTGTATAATTTCAAGATGGTGTGGGATGCGCTGTATCCAGCTGAAATAAAAGATCTATAAGAGAAGTGGTGCTAGTGTGTTGCGTGTGCTTTCAGTTCCAGAACCTTGATGGGTCTCCTTACCTAGTACAATACTCACTGTGTCAGCTTGTGCCCAGATTTAAAGCAGAACACCACAGCAGTTAAGTGGGTTATTGTAAGCTTGGGCTTTGAGTTCAGAAAAAGTGAGTTTTTATTTCCACTCTTGACTCAAACAAATTACCTTTTTACTGATGGGCTTAGAGCTAAGACAATACAGTTTATTTTCAGAGACTAGCTTACTTAATTTCCTCCCAAGTACCTTTCTCAGTAAGAAAATCTCAAATTGTGGCATGTTCTTTTACTGAACCTATTTTGAAGCTGAAAGTTCAGGTTTTGGTTTGATAAATTATTTAATTTGTTTATTTCTCTATACTGTTACTAAATAAAGTATTATGTTGTTGTGTAAGTATCCATCATATTAAAATATTAGTTTTAAAAACATTAATACTGGTATCAAATATAGTAGCAGCTATTTAATAGATTGTTATGTTTATAGAAAGAAGACTGTGTTAATAAGGTTTTCTAAGAAACTTCAAAATAGTTAAACAGTTCTTTAAAGCTTAAGTAAAAGCAAAATATAGAATGTCAAAGACACATTTTTATCGCAAAGAACAGTGAAACACTTTACTGACCACTTACTAACCATGGAAGCTACTGCTTTTGAGAAATGCTTCTAAAGAATAAGCAGCTGAAATGGTCATTAGAAATGAGAAAGCCTGGGACATTCCTTTAAGCATTGCCATAATAATATCAGGTCTTAACTATTCTGAGGACCAAATCGAATCAAACAACACACATGGCCAAGAATCTTCAGAAAATGAATCTGACACCCTAACACATTATATCTTTCAGTTTACACCCACGGTTAATAAAACAAGATCAAAGTAACAATCTAAAGGAAAGCATAGTACGGCTGCTGGTTTCATTTACTTTAAGCTATTTTGTCTTTAACAACAAAACCAACAGTACACCATTGTCCAAAGCATGTCTACAGTAGTTTTCTGGAATTTATCCCCAAAGAAGCCCTCCATTAAAACCTTGGTAAATGGTTGACTGATAATCAATAGTTAGCTTTCAAATAAATGTAATGAAGACTTCATAGTCCCAAATATACATCTAAAGATTCATACTAACCTGATGCCTCTTGAGATCCATGGACTGTGTCCACTCTGCAAAGCCAAATCACCTCTGTGCTGACCATAATAATAATGGCCATGAGAGAAGACCATGTGCATGACTGAGAGTCATCTATCACTGGGGTCACAAGTTAATTTCTTTTTTTAAAACTGCATATAGCACAGTATGTGGTAGTGGGCAGAAGAAATCTTGCCCTGTGATTCATCTCAAGCCCTTAAATCACTCTCCTTTCTCGCTGACAATCTCAGAAATGAGAAATGACTTGCCTGCTTTGTCTGGCCTCATAAAAGAGTAAGCCTCGGTTTTTCTACAGAGCTCATTCACAAAAACCAAGCAATACTAAAATAACTGTAAGTTTATTTTTAAAAGCCATGCCATTGGTGTAGCCTGCTAACAAGATGATGGCTGAAGCCTTGTCAGAGAAGACTCAGAGCGTCATTGAAACTTCTGAACTATTTGCATTATCACTTGCTTGCTTTAAGTCAACATTTTTTTTTTAATTGGAGAGAAAGTAATTATGGCTAGAATTTACATAGACTTGTCCAGGAAAAAGAGTCTGCCAATATTATGATTTTATTTTACAGGTGTAAAAAGAAAAATTCTACCTACGTTAGAATGAGTTGCCTACATTATTTCTAGTTATTTTAGTCATTTCCATAATTGAACTGTATTTCATAGCCAAATTGATAAATGAAAATCATGTCCTAAAGGGGTACAGCAACTTCAAAAAGCCCTACTTTAAATATCTAGTGCACCAAATGATTAATGTAAGTTCTTAGGAAAAAGTGAACTACCAGTTCTGATAAAGAGTTTGTTTTCTGTTTTCCAAGACAGGGTTTCTCTGGCTGCCTGGGAACTAGCTGTGTAGCCTGAGTCCTGGGATTAAAGGCCTGCATGAAACTTTTTTTTTTTTAAGTTGGCTCCACATGAGTAAGTTGAAATGCATCCAGTTAGCCCAGCATTCATTCAGAAGACACAATTTCCAGAGTGTCTTTAAGTAATGTTGACAATCCAACAGTCACTGATTATTTCCAGTCCTTTCTAAATAAGGAAGTTTTATTAATTAGCTGATCTACTATCACTCCCTTTTAGGAACTAGTCTTCATCAATAATATGTTATACTTCTCAACACTGATAGGAAATTTAACACTTTTGTTACTGCTTATCAATTGTTTTTAGAAAATGTAACTTTTAGCTCAATACTCATTCAAAGAAAAGTGTGAAATGTTCTCCTTCCTCGCGTATTTGTGATCTGTGTTCCATGAAAGCATTCTTTAATTTGCTCTTGATTATGTACAAGGCAGGGGATATAAGCTATTTGTATATCAAATAAAATTTTATGTTTAAAAATGATACAGCACTAAAGACTACGTTAAAAATCGCTCTGTTCATGCTCCGCAAACTCACCTTTGCTTTGTTTTTTTATAAAATTCAGATCATCTGTAATTAATGACAATTGATTTTGAAATTTTTTACATATCCTTGAATGTGTCAATTCCAGAATAACATAATCAACTCCATAAGCAGTTAATGGAGTGTAATATTTCTAACAACTTGTTGGATTATAGAAAAGGAGCCCAAATGAGGTGTCGGTGCTCAGTGTATGGTCTCACGCTCTGTAATGACTCATTTCTCATTATGATAAGTAAATGGGTGATTTAAATTTATGATTTTTATGCTTTAGATCTGTGGAGTTTTTTGAAAGCAATCAAATATACACACTAAACACATAGTGTTAACCATACACAATGTGTTGCCACAGTTGTTAAATTTCCTTGCTGTATGAATGCTGACAAACTGCAAGTACTCACTCTATTGACAAAGCCATTTTCTTTCTCACATATGCATACTTAAGTATATAAATCTATAGTGTACTCACAGCTGATTAGCACCTATTAAATTTTGTTACTATGATTAAGTATCTTACTGTGGTTTCTCAGAAGACATAAATCTTTCACCTTTTACCAATATTCTAGACGAATTACTTGAGCTGAATGCAACTGTTCTCTATTTCCTTGCTTAAATATGGAATTCAGTGGGGATGTAAAACAAAGAAAAGACCATGGCAAATGCAAAACACAAAATGGCATGTCATGCAACAACACTTGCATGACAAACGCAAATGGATTAAAATGCCTGGTGACCATTTAAATAAATAGGTGCTTCTCAATCTATTTTATCTATCATCCATATGTCTACTCGCCCCATCATCTATCTAGGACTTTATTAGACTGTAGCATGTGAAGATGCCAAAGTAGAACTTGTTTCTTCGTGGAGTTTAACACAAAGTTGCTTTTTCTATAGTCAAAAAATGAAAAACTAATACTCAAAAAGAGCCTCACATTTAAGATTGAGTCAAATATATTTCTTTGGTCTTTTCTGATGCTGATGAAAACCATACACTTGCTTGTTCTGTATAGTAGCCTTTGCCTACTGCTTCAGATGATAATAGAACAGCTATAGTCACCTCCTGAGTTGTGGTCAATCCCTCAAGGAAATGTTATGGTGGCATTTCCAGGAAACGTGCTGCCTCTGTTCTCAAAAGTTGTTTTGAGAATATAGATTTTTTTAAGCACAAGAAGAAGAATCCTGATGAACACTCGATTTCAATTTACTTTAAGCATGCAAAGCAAAGCAGACATCTCTGAAGGACTTTCCAGATTCCATGATTGGGTAAGAAGCCCTCTCACTTGCCCTCAATCTCCAGCAAAAGCAAAACTAACAGCTTTGGTAGAGAAGTGGTAAATGAGAAACGGAACTCCGCCTGTGGTTTCACTTTTGAAGCAAAAATACGAATTTACAGGGCTTGAAGGCAGATAAAAAAAAGGCTATTCTATTTGTAATGGAAAGGATTCGTTTTTTTATTGGATATTTTATTTACATTTCAGATGTTATCCCCTTAGCCCATTCCCCCCACCCCCTGGCCCAGGAACTCCCTATTCCATCCCCCCTCCTGCTTCCATGAGGATGTACCCTAACCCACCCACCTACTCCCACCTACCCACCCTCGAATTCCCCCACACTCGGTGTCCAGCCGTCATGGGACCAAGGATCTCCTTTCCCACCTACGCCCGACAAGGCCATCCTCTCCTACATATACAGCTGGAGCCATGGGTTCCTCTCTATTTGTTCCCAGGCTGGTGGTTTAGACCCTGGGAGCTCTGGTTGGTTGGTGTTGCTCTCCTCAAGGGGCTGCAAAAACTTTCAGCTCCTTCAGCTCCTTCTCTCTAACCCCTCCATTGGGAACCCCTTGATCAATTCAATGGTTAGCTGTGAGCATCGGCCTCTGAATATGTCAGACTCTGGTAGACCTCTTAGGAGACAGCTATATCAGGCTCCTGTCGGCATGCACTTCCTGACATCCACATTAGTGTCTACCTTTGGTGACTGCACATGGGGTGGATACCCAGGTGCAATGGTCTCCAGATGGCCCCTCCTTCAGTTTCTGTCCCACACTTTGTCTCCATATTTGCTCCCTTGAGTATTTTGTTACTCCTTCTAAGAAAGACTGAAGCACCCACTCTTGATCTTCCTTCTTCATGAGCTTCATGTGGTCTGTGAGTTGAATCTTGGGTATTGCGAGCTTCTGAGCTAATATCCAATTATCAGTGAGTGAATACCATGTGTGTTCTTTTGTGATTGGCTTACCTCACTCAGGATGATATTTTCTAGTTCCATCCATTTACCTAAGAATTTCTCGAATTCATTGTTTTTAACAGCTGAGTAATATTCCGTTCTGTAAATGTACCACATTTTTTTGTATCCATTCCTCTGTTCAAGGACATCTGGGTTCTTTCCAGCTTCTGGCTATTATAAATAAAGCTGCTATGAACATAGTGGAGCATATG